AGCCCCGCCCGGTCGTGGGGGGGGGGGGGGGGATGCAGCGGCGACGTTCAACCTTTGAAGTATGCAAGAGCCCCAGCAGAGTTGGGGTTCTTGTACATTTCAAAGTAGAAGTGCAGCATGGAGCCCAGGGTCAGCAGAGGGCCCCACTGGCCCTGGGCTCCACATGGCATTTTAATCTTTCAAACATTTTAATTCATATGTTCTATTTTCTCTTTGTTGCTAACATCAAAAACAGCACCCTGAGCCACCAGGCGGTCACCTGGGTCATCTGCCTTGAAAACCAGCCCTGGACATAAGACTTTCTATCCATTTCTCTCCTTCTGTCTCACTCTCTGTGCTGAATCTCCTGGGGGACAGCTTCTTTGTGAGAGGACATTTTGCACACTGAAATCTCCCCTGACTGCATGTGACCTTTTTCACTGGCTTTGCTGGTACAAACAAAGTACAGCTCAACAGTGAATTCTTCTCTTACCAGTCAGTTTTATACGAGTGCCTTAAAAAATATAATATAGCCAGCACAGACTGTCAATGCATTAAATTATCTTTTAATTGCCTTCTTAAAACTGATATTTTCCTTCTTTCTTCCAGTATCATGTGTTTGCATAGTATTTTTAAATCTTTTTTCTTTATTCTTTCTCTTCTCTAGTGAGCAAAAGTGATTAGTGCCATGGTATAAGGGGAGACAGGGTCTTTTCCTCCTGAAGTCTTTAAAGCTGGTGTCATTTTAATTTGTGATAGGGTACTCTATCATCAAGAATTAAAAATGTGTTCCCTGTACTCACAAGCAACATTTCCATGAACATACATAAGAACAGCCGTACTGGGTCAGACCAAAGGCCCTTCTAGCCCAGTATCCTGTCTGCCGACAGTGGCCAACACCAGGTGCCCCAAAGAGGGTGGACCGAAGACAATGATCAAGCGATTTGTCTCCTGCCATCTCTCCCCAGCCTCTGACAAACAGAGGCCAAAGACACCATTTTATCCCCTGGCTAATAGCCTTTTATGGACCTAACCTCCATGAAATTATTTAGCTTCTCTTTAACCTCTATTATAGTCCTAGCCTTCACAGCCTCCTCTGGCAAGGAGTTCCACAGGTTGACTACACGCTGTGTGAAGAAGAACTTTCTTTTATTAGTTTTAAACCTGCTACCCATTAATTTCATTTGGTGTCCTCTAGTTCTTCTATTTAGGGAACTAATAAATAACTTTTCTTTGTCGGCCCTCTCCACGCCACTCATGATTTTATAGACCTCTATCATATCCCCCCTCAGTCTCCTCTTTTCTAAACTGAAAAGTCCCAGTCTCTTTAGCCTCTCCTCATATGGGACCCATTCCAAACCCCTAATCATTTTAGTTGCCCTCTTCTGAACCCTTTCCAAGGCCAAAATATCTTTTTTGAGGTGAGGAGACCACATCTGTACACAGTATTCAAGATGTGGGCGTACCATAGTTTTATACAGGGGCAGTAAGATATTCTGGGTTTTATTTTCTATCCCTTTCCTAATAGTTCCTAGCATCCTATTTGCCTTTTTGACCGCCTCTGTACACTGTGTGGAAGTTTTCAGAGACCTGTCCACTATAACTCCAAGATCTCTTTCCTGATTTGTTGTAGCCAAATTAGCCCCCATCATACTGTAAGTATAGTTGGGGTTATTTTTCCCAATGTGCATTACTTTACACTTATCCACATTAAATTTCATTTGCCATTTTGTTGCCCAATCACTTGGTTTGGTGATATCTTCTTGGAGTCCCTCACAGTCTGCTTCTGTCTTGACTATCCTAAACAGTTTGGTATCATCTGCAAACTTTACTACCTCACTGCTTACCCCTTTCTCCAGATCATTTATGAATAAGTTGAAAAGGATTGGTCCCAGGACTGACCCTTGGGGGACACCACTAGTTACCCCTCTCCAATCTGAAAATTTACCATTTATTCCTACCCTTTGTTTCCTGTCTTTTAACGAGTTCTCAATCCAAGAAAGGACCTTCCCTCTTATCCCATGGCCATGTAATTTACACAAGAGCCTTTGGTGAGGGACTTTGTCAAAGGCTTTCTGAAAATCCAAGTATACTATATCTACCGGATCCCCCTTATCCGCATGTTTGTTAACCCCTTCAAAGAACTCTAATAGGTTAGTAAGACAGGATTTCCCTTTACAGAAACCATGTTGACTTTTGTCCAACAAATTATGTTCTTCTACATGCTTCACAATTTTATTCTTTACTATTGTTACAACTAATTTGCCTGGTACTGAAGTTAGACTTACCGGTCTGTAATTGCTAGGATCGCCTCTAGAGCCCTTTTTAAATATTGGTGTCACGTTGGCTACCTTCCAGTCATTAGGAAGGTAGCCAACGTTAAGATTAGTTTCAGATTATCTTGGTGGTTGTGTTAGGACCTGGTCAAAAGAGAGGGGTTATCCTTGAGATATATTTTTGGACTCAAATATTTGAAAGCTTTGAGGAGGAAGACTAAGGGCTTGAGTTGAATCCTGGATTCACTGGGGAGCTATAGCAAGGGCCAGGATAGAGATGACCCCTGTTGTTTTATTTAGGCTGCTCTCAGAAGCTTGTAGTTGCCAAATTGTACCTCAGCTACAATAATTCTCATGGGTGTAGTTCTCATAGGTGTACAATAATTCTCCACAGCTATCCTGCAAAGTTTCATGTTCTCTCACCTTGTTCATGAAGCAATAGAAGATGGTGAGAAGTTATAAAGTCAAATATGAGTGAATAATAATGTGGACAAGAACACATTCTAATTTCTATCACTTCTGTCTCTGGAAGTATTTTATTCTAGCTGGCTTGATGCTTAAATGGGATTGGAGTCTGGACAAGGGACATTTCACTTAAAGCCAGGAAAGATGGAGATGACTTCTGTAGAAAGAGGAAAAAGTTTTGAAGAACTGTCTGACAGCATATCATCACCTTCCTTCTAGCTTTGGAAGATTCTTGTAACTTAGGGCATGTCTACAGTGCACACTTATTTCGAAAGAGCGCGTCTATACAGCAAATGCCCATCGCAATAGCACTGAGCGATTTCAAAATGGAATGTCCACACTTGTTGGATGCTGATCACATTTAAGGCCTCTCAGAAGCACTTCAGGCAGGGCATCAGGACAGCACTCTCTTCCTGAAGCTGCTGTCTGAGGCTTGTGCTAAAAGGGACACCCCCACCCTGTACAGCCGTGTCCCAGGCTCTCCTCCTTTGCCTACCTCCTTGAGGGACAGCAAAGACTTTTCTTAGCCTCCAGTGGTTGCCCTTGCAGATACCTCAGCACTCTGCTCGGAGGCAGGTCCAGCTCCATGGCTAGTCAACTGCTTTTATATGTGTTGGTGTACCTCTTGCTGCAGTTTCTGTGGGCTGCCTTCTGAGCTCTGCAGGAACAGGACCCCCAGCTTCTTGTGGGGCAATTCCTCACCTCTCTCTGGGTGCTGCTCATACAGCTCGACACCACCCACCCTTGCCTGCACAACCAGGGGGAGGGAAAGCTCAGTGGTTTGAGCATTGGCCTGCTAAACGCAAGGTTGTGCGTTCAATCCTTGGGGGGGGCCGTTTAGGGATTTGGGGCAAATCTGTCAGGGATGGTACTTGGTCCTGCTGTGAGGGCAGGGGACTGGACTTCATGACCTCTTAAGGTCCCTTCCAGTTCTATGATATAGGTATAGGTATTGTGCACTGCCTCTTCTGGCAACTGGACACCAGCTCCGACTGGTGGGACTGGATCGTCCTGGAGCAGTGGGATGACCAGCAGTGGCTCCAGAATTTCCATATGCGGAAGGACACCTTTCTGGAGCTGTGTGATTGGCGCACCCCTGCCCTCCAGTGACAAGACACCCATGTGAGACCCACCATTCCCCTCCAGAAGTGGGTCGTCATTGCCATCTAGAAGCTCACCACATTGGACAGCGGACAGCTACTGATCTATCAGGAGGTTGACCATCAGGACCATGGTCATGGTCATGCAGTGTGGTGTATGAAGGCACGGACTCCGGCCAGTGCAAGCACGAAATCATTTTATTGAAAGATTACAACTACCTTTATACCCTTAAAAGTTTACAAACTGCTTTTTCCCAAACTGCTTTTTCCCAGTCACAAAAACAGCATTCTCGAAGGTCATTGACTTAGGCAGATGTTGTTATTGTTGGCTCAGGACTCTTGCTTGGTTTCGTCCTTGGGACGCTCTGTCATGCGGCCAAAGCACTATGCTTGCTGATTCTCTACAGTGCAGGTATGGTGCTCTCATGCTGCTGTTGTCCCAGGAGGGCGGTGAACTGAACAGCTGGAGTGGAGTTCCCTAGGGAAGGGTGTTGTGTGTGTTTGGAGGGGGTGTGT